ACGTTACTATTACTACGTTACTATAACTACGTTACTATATCTACGTTACTATAACTACGTTACTATTACTACGTTACTATAACTACGTTACTATTACTACGTTACTATAACTACGTTACTATTACTACGTTACTATAACTACGTTACTATTACTACGTTACTATAACTACGTTACTATTACTACGTTACTATAACTACGTTACTATTACTACGTTACTATAACTACGTTACTATTACTACGTTACTATAACTACGTTACTATTACTACGTTACTATAACTACGTTACTATTACTACGTTACTATAACTACGTTACTATTACTACGTTACTATAACTACGTTACTATTACTACGTTACTATAACTACGTTACTATTACTACGTTACTATAACTACGTTACTATTACTACGTTACTATAACTACGTTACTATTACTACGTTACTATAACTACGTTACTATTACTACGTTACTACTGCTACGTTACTACTACTACGTTACTATTATTACGTTACTATTACTACGTTCTATTACTACGTTACTATTACTACGTTACTACTACTACGTTACTACTACTACGTTACTACTACTACGTTACTATTACTACGTTACTATTACTACGTACTATTACTACGTTACTATAACTACGTTACTATTACTACGTTACTACTGCTACGTTACTACTACTACGTTACTATTATTACGTTACTATTACTACGTTCTATTACTACGTTTCTATTACTATGTTCTATTACTACGTTACTATTACTACGTTCTATTACTACGTTACTGTAACTACGTTACTATTACTACGTTACTACTACTACGTTACTACTACTACGTTACTATTACTACGTTACTATTACTACGTTCTATTACTACGTTACTATTACTACGTTACTATAACTACGTTCTATTACTACGTTACTATTACTACGTTACTATAACTACATTACTATTACTATATCACTATCCAGTATCCCCGACATAAAAATTGAACCTAAAAAATAATGTATCCTTACAGAACTAAATGAACAAAATTATTATAAAAGATAAATTAATTAATTAAATTGAAACAAAATAAATAAATTCCAATTGCAAATTAAGGTTTCTATTGTAGAATTGCATTATAACTTGAATACAAAATTGTTACGTATTTTTTTTCATCGTCGTTTTGTAATTATGAGTTCTGGGTGATGTACTTCATTTCCGTTGACCAGTTTAACGTCATCACTCAGAGAAGGATATTACTTTCTGTAAATACATGAATTTCAATTTAACTTCGCGACATCGCAAAATGAACGGACACTGGTGAAGCGCTTCCATTTCTCGCTAATTCTCATTTACGTGCCACTACTTACTCGATGCTTGACATATTCCGATATAACACTTCCACGATCGACATTAAACGTTTTCAACGTTAATAAAACTAAGAACTCGCCTATTGCTTTAACCTAGATTTTTTCTCAATTTTTTTAGTGAGATATTCGACTACAAATTTTTTACATGTAACTTGGTTTTTTTGGAAGAAATTTAGTTATGACAGTTTTTCAATTTTTGTTGAAGAAATTCAACTATAAAACTTATTCAATTTTTGTAGAAGAAATTCTAGTATAAATCTTAGTAAATTTTTGTTTAATAGAAATTCAACTATAAATCATGCAGATGACCTTCTAAGACTATGCTTATATTTTTAGAACGTATAAAAATTTCAACATAAAATTTGGCAAATTAAATTGACTTACAATTCTTATATACGTTTTCGAGTTTTTACATTTTTTATAAAAATAACATTAATTAATATAATGTAACACTTCATGTTTTATAACATCATCCGCTATAAACTTTACTGACCTTGACACAATTTTTTATAATATGTAAGCTTCGAGGTTATGTACGTATTCGTTCATGTAAAAGATGTAAATTAAATTAATGTCATTTACTGACTAAAATGAGATTTGTTGACCAACAAAATAATTGTAGCATTTTGAAATCAGCTGTTTCATCGAGCTAAGAATGAATAGACACATCACATTCGCTTCTTTGGCTCAATCTAAGTTTCAAGATTGGATAACAAGGGAAAAGACTGAATGGAAAAAAGTTAATCAAAATAGTGTAATATTTCCATCAATTTGTAATTCAAAATTACACAATTTCCATGTAAATTAATCGTTTGACGTGAAATTAGAAAAGAGGAATTACCAATTCAGTTTTTGGAAGATAAGAAAAAATGATTCTTTAATATTAATTATTAATATCACAGAGTTTTTTGTTTAAAAATTCTCCACAATTCAAGTTCGTTCAAGAAAATGTGAATATAAATACGAACAGAATTTGTTATAAATTAAATAATTTGTGTACATAATTTTAACTGTTCAATGATGTTTATGAATATTTAAAAATGGTACATAACAAGCAACAGAAAATCAAGAAAAATTAATTTCAAGTAAAAAAATTGAGGAAAAATTAATTTCTAGAAATTTGAAGTCGCAACCTTTCGTTTATAAGAACAGACCTTTTCTCGCTGAGCCACACTGTTCTCATTAGAATTTACTCAAATTTACTGAAACTTGCTTTTCTCAAAATTCGCAGGAAATTGCATATTACTGTTTAAGCAAACAAATCCACTATTCGAAATAAAGAAAGTAAAAATCACAACAAAAATGAATGTCTGACTTTCCTCTTCTAAATATTTTAATAACCGTAAAAATGAAATAAAGATATTTCTATTAACAGAAAAAAATGGATATAGAAATATAAATTCTATATGTACTCGCGTTACCACTCTTTTGTTCAAAATTTAAGGACACGCGAAATTGAAATAAAACATGAATTGATATTTGCTTTATAAATCAACAAATTTTCAATAACAGTTCAACTGACGTCAGTCGGATTTTATTAAATACTTCCTGTTGCTTTTTCAATTTTTACATCTCTGCTTGACACAACTCAAATTTCAACTTCGCTTTATTGAATGCAAAATCGTTTCCATTCTATTCACTGCTTTCATCACGTTTTTATTTTCACTTCGGTGTATTTATACCATAATTGCGTACAATTAACAACGCGTACAATTTTCTATATCCAAAAATAAAAATTTGAAAAGCTACATTCTCCGAGTCACGCCATTATCAGAACCAAGCGGCGATATAATGGAAGCGAGTACTTTCAAGCAAAACATTTCAGGCTCAGAAATGAAAAAGGTCTTTGATCGTGTCCCTAATAACGTTGCCAAGAATCGTCGATTCAACGTTTAATATCAAAGCAGTATATTTCGTAAACGAGGAAGTTTGTGCATGCCATCTGATATGCGTCAAACATTCCGCCATTCGATGAAATGCAGCCTTTGCGCTGCTGTGCTTGTCGTGGATTAACGACTGCGTAGGTGCCGAGGTTTGTATTTCATCTTCGAAGCCGCAACCCTGGTAAAATGCAGTTAATCGTGAGCTAGATTCTTCAAATGAAAAATTATACGATTTCAAAAATTATTTCCATCTGTTTAAAAATAAAAATGCATACAGAATCGATGTGAATTGTTCACGAAAAATGATTAAATGGCGCACAAAGAACTGCGGACCACACGATTGTATCTAAACGAAAAACAAGTTGAAATCAGATCTGACGGAGTGAAACTTTTTATTCTTTCTGCTGAGCTTTTGTGGGATACATTTCTTTGTTCCGCATACAAGCTTTTACTTATTTAATGATATAAAGCGCGTATTTAACAGTGGAAGATTATGTATATGTAGAGGAACATTTCAAAAACATGTAATAATATTACTTTGACTGCCATGTCACCCGCATGTGGTTAGGTTAGGTTTTGTAATATGCGCAATGGAAATTGATATGAATATGTTACCGTGAAGTAGAATGTCGACATTCACCGGTGAAAACTTAACTAAATTTCATCCAAATCTGACCAAAAAGTAAACCAAATTAATTAACAACCGATATGATTTTTATCGACCGATGGCAAAAATAGGCAAAAAGAAAACAAAGAATGATAAAAAAGTTTTATAACTGTACTAGAATAGTATTGTCCTTTCAGTATCGCATAAAACAGCTTAAAAACAAGTTAATCAAATTTGAATTAATTTGAATGAGTTACGAGTCAGACTCGGCGAAGTATGGCGAGGGATTAAATTTTGAACAAACTTTTTCATTTACGCACGCTTAAATTCAATTATGTTTCTTCCCAGTAACTTTTCTGCATTTAAAAGCTATTATCTCGAATTCGCTAACAAGCGGAGAATTAAACAAGCTTTTGCAAAATGAATAACAGTATTTAAACTACGATTCGCCGTTTTTAACGACCCCCTCGTTAACGCGATAAACAATATTTCTCCAAAGTGAAACGCTAAATGGAATTCGTTACATCAAATTTTCCAAACATTATATAACGCGATTTAATCGAATGAAACGGGATTTAAATTCGCAGCTTTATTCGCGTATAATGTTAATATTCGGCAGTTAGCGAAGAGGAGGTCTTGGAAGAGAAAACGAAAGCTCGAATCGAAAAACAGGGAAAGATTGAACGAAAGTATCAATATTGCCGGTATTAGAACGAAGTTTCTTTTGAAAAACTTGATACCGTGGATAAAAGTACCAAACTTTGACATTCAATATTTATCGAACTTTGACATTCAATATCTATCGACGCACAGATGGTAAACACAACGTTCACAAACAGAACGGCGGACACTCACATCCGATTCGCAAATAAAAGGTTATGCGAACACGTGCAAATTATCGATTTCACAATATGTTTCACAGAGGGCGGACGCAGTTTTGTCGAATCGTTGACACAAAAACGATGACGCAAATTTTATATAAACTCATGTAAAATTTTACGTACAGTAAGTTTATGCAGAATTCTATGTCCACTTATGACATAGACTCAGGAAAAATTTTAAGTACACTTTTTATGTAACTTTAAGTAGATTCTTTAGGAAGAAAAAGAAGTTTGTTAATTGAAAAAGGATCTTTAAAAATATAAACATTTGGTAGTAGCATGAATTATTTAATAAACGATGCTGGTACAAAGTGCAAGTATAAAGAAATGTATGAAACAGGCAGTAAGAAAATCGAGAGTCATGAGCAGATCATATTCGTGCGACAAGTAGTCTATAAGAGTATTTGATTAGCGGCAAACGCAAACGCCACCACGGCAAGAACCACCCCTGCGACGCTGAGCTAGACATTTGATGGCACAGGCAGAATGATTTACGGTGAACCATTGTGATTGCCAGGAGAGAACATCACACGTTACACGTCTTTGTCGAACAGGCATATCGGTAGAAACCTCTGGGTTCATAACTGCTGTCTCTTCTCCGCCTTCCACCGGTTCTATTAACAAATTTATACATATTTAGACTTATATCTATTACATCTATTAGATCATAGATGATAGTAATTTCAGTTTCGATAGCAAGGTTGGACTACGTAGTTTATATTATAGTTCAGTATACCATGAGCATACATGCATACATATGTACACTGCCGTCCATGAGTATCCGGACACAAGCGAAATATGCATTCGCGTTGCATGAAAGTTATTCAAGTATCTACAACAGTAACTAAAATCGATTTTTTTTCTGCGAAGGTCAGAATACTGGAACGTTTTTCGATTGATAATTCTCGTTTGGAACTCATATCTCGATGGAAAGAAGCTACAGACGAACTAAACCGAAACTGTCGAGTGCATAGTGTTACCTCCATTCTTATCTCCATTGAGGGAACCTAAACATCTACCAACAGTTTACAAACACTTGAAACATATCGAAGAACCCTCTGAATACGTTCTGCACCATAGAAATGAAACACAGTAGAAATTAAAATTTTTTTTAGAATCGAAAGCGTTTCATT